TTGTGGAGGAGGTTGGGAAAACGCTCTGCAGGTCTTGTGTCTGAGTGTTTTGGAGTCCCCATCACTAAGAGACCTCAAGACTGTTTGCTTTAGTATTTATTTAAGTTTTAAGTAGTAGGCTAAGCTTCCGCCTACAGCACCGGCATCCCATATGGGCGCCAGTTCATGTCCCAGCTGCCCCTCTTCCGATCCAGCTCTCTGCTGTGGCCCGGGATAGCAGTAGAAGATGGCCCAAGTGCTTGGGCCCTGCACCCGCAAGGGAGACCCAGTGGAAGCTCCTGGCCTCCGACTTCCGATCAGCTCAGCTCCGGCTGATGCCGTCGTTTGGGGAATGAACCAGCAGACGGAAGCTCTCTCTCTCTGCCTTCCCCTCTCTCTGTCTGTAACTCTGCCTCTCAAATAAATAAACTCTTAAAAAAGATGTATTTATTTATTCATTCTTTCCAAACACACAATGACACAGAGAGAGAGAGAGAGACAGATCTTTCCTCTGTTGATTGATGCACTCCCCAAACAGCCATAATAGCCACGTCTTGCCAGGCTAAAGCTGGGAGCCTGGAACTTCATCCCGGTCTCCTTTGTGGGTGCAGGGGCCCAAGTGCCTGGGCCATCTTCTGCTGCCTCCCACGCGCATTAGCAGGGAGCCGGGCGGAAGGCGGAGCAGCCAGGACTCAACCAGAGCTCAGATGCGGGATCCCAGCCTTGCAGGCAGCAGCTCCGCTCGCTGCACCACAGCTGCAGCCCCGAGACCGTTTGTTGTAGCGATGAGAGTCCCACAGAATTCCTGTCTGTGGCATGCACGGACGAGGCCAGCTTGGTCAGGTGGTCCGGACCTACTTGTTTCAGCTTTTGGGGTCTGGATTTCCGCGGCATGAGCTGCCGTTGGGTTTAACTCTGGAGAGTCAGTGGGGTGGATGGGTTGTGTGCCAGCCCTCCCGGCCGCAGTTTGTAGCTGTTTGTTCGGGGTGGGGCGTCTTGATCCTCCTTGTCATCGTGCAGTTTGATGTGGGATATTTTTTACTGTGTGTGGACCCCCAGCACGCAGCCCTCGTGCGAGATCCTGCAGGGAACCAGTGAGTTCCGTGGGTCACTCGGCTGCCTTCTGGCCGGCGGGGAGTGAGGCTGGAGGGGCTGACCGTGCCCTCCCACGGAAGAGGGCTAACCCTGTGCACATTCTGTTGTCATGCAGCAGCCGCTTAATGGCCACTTACTGGAACGCGTTACTAGGTCTGCAGTGAGTGTTGTTAGAAACTGAATTACTCTGTATATTTCCCCAGGGTCCTCCCCGCCCCCACCTCCTGGAGTAGATGCTGAGCGCAGGAAGTGGTACTGTGTTGCAATCGCAGCTGCATTGTTCCTTTGTATTATTTATTTTGTGTTTCAAAAATAAATACATTGCTTTTTGTGGTACTAGAGACTGGCCGGGAGCCCGGGGAGTGGAGCGGGGTTCCCTGGGTTATTTGCTGGGTCGCCCCTAACCCAAGGGTGCCCAGGGACAGCCTGTGGTCCCCCTGTCCAGCCAGTGTCAGTGTCCTTGTGATTAATTTGAGTCACTCCACATCTCTCCAGCTTCTTGTCCTTATCCCTGAAGTAAATTTGAGCAACCAGCCGCTTCCCTGGGTTTTGTGTCATCCCCACTTTGCATAACCTGGATAGGTCTCGGAGGTGAGAGATGCTGAGTTTGCGAGCCGCGTGGCCTTGGTCAGTGCTGTGGACCTCTCTGGGCCTCCACGTTCGTACCTTTCAGCACGTGGGGGCGTGGCTTCCCAGGGAGGAGGATGTGATGTTGAATGAAATGGTGTGAGTAGAGGCACTTAACACAGCGCCTGGCACAGGCCGACCGTCATCAAAGCTTCCTTCCGCTTCCTTGCCGACTTAAAAATAAACAGCCACCGCAGAACGCCCCTGTGTGCTGGGAGCCAGGGGATGCCTGAGGAAAGGAGTGGACCCATTGTTTCCTTCTGGCCTTGGGACGTCCTCCCACTCAAGGCAGACAGGGGCGTCAGCACGTGGGGTGGCTGTGCACGGCCATCCCCAGTGCAACCGGTACTGCTGCCCGCGCCCGCGGGGCGCCCCAGCTCCGGGTTGGACGCGGGAAGCACGTTGCCTGCAGCTGTATCGGGTGTCTTTGGAGGAGGGCTGGATTTCTTCCCGGGGACACTGTGCTGGGATGGCCGCATCATTCCACTTCTGGGTCATGCTTTTAGCTCCTCGGGCCCACCAGGGATCCCCAAGCTTTCTGAAGTCAATGAAATAATTGTCCCCGGCCCTCCCACTTGATTGCTGTGGCTGCCTCACGCCTTTTCCCTACCCCGCAGGGGCGGAGGAAGTTTCCACCCCCCTCACCCCCACCCCGGCCCAGGGCACTTGGCAGCCTCCCTACCTGATGGCACTGGGGTCTGGATTTTTGAGGTCTGGTGGGTTCCGGAGACTTCCCTTCCGCACCCCCGGCTGGACGGCGCCCTGGGGCCGGCCCGCAGCGGCTGCACACACAGCTGGCGCGCACTGTCCTGCTAAGGTTTGCTGTCTTTCCTCCTTCCCCTGTAGAGTACAAGAAGAAGTACGGGGAGGAACACGGCTCCTGCCAGGCGGGGATCGCCGGCTTCTGCACCGAGGTGGGTGCCAGCTCTCCGGGCGCGGCTCTTCTCTGGGGGCTGTGTGTTTCCTTGCCTAGCGTGGTTTTGGTAAGCGCTGGCACTCGGGCTTCTCTGTTCCTGATGCCTGAGCTCTGAGTGGGGGTCTGGCCCTCACGTTGGGGGAGGGTCGGGGCCGGGGTGGGGGGCATCGGCTGGCTGGAGGTCACAGGGCAGAGGGGGCTGGGGTGGCTCTTTTGGAGATTTCTAGGGGAGTGGGCTTGACTCGGAGACTCGTGGACAGAGTTGATCGAAGAGGGTGCAGGGGAGCCTGGGGCCACTGAGGGGTGCCTCACTGTAGGTGCCTCATGTGGGCCTTGTGAAGAGCCTGGGTCTGTCCACACCTCTAACCGTGCCCTCCCTGTACTCCTAAGGCCTGCGCAGGGCAGAGGTAGCCTGCTCTTGGCTGGAGGGGCACTTTTTTTTTTTTAAAAAGATTAATGTATTTTTTTAAAAAAATTTTAACAGGCAGAGTGGACAGTGAGAGAGAGAGAGACAGACAGAGAGAAAGGTCTTCCCTTGCTGTTGGTTCACCCTCCAATGGCCGCCGCGGCCGGCGCGCTGCGACCAGCGCACCGTGCTGATCTGAAGCCAGGAGCCAGGTGCTCCTCCTGGTCTCCCATGGGGTGCAGGGCCCAAGCACTTGGGCCATCCTCCACTGCCCTTCTGGGCCACAGCAGAGAGCTGGCCTGGAAGAGGGGCAACCGGGACAGAATCCGGCGCCCCGACCAGGACTAGAACCCGGGGTGCCGGCGCCGCGAGGCGAAGGATTAGCCCAGTGAGCCTCGGCGCCGGCCATATTTTTATCTATTGGAAAAGTAGAGAGAGGGGGAGGGAGGGAGGAGGGAGGGAAAGAGAGTGCGCGCACAGTCACTAGGTGGATTTTCCATCTCCGGGTTCACTCCCTAAATGCTTGCAACAGCCAGGGCTGAGGCAGGCCAGGCTGAAGCCAGAACCTGGAACTCCATCTGGCTTTCCTTCCTGGGAGGCAGGGGCTCAGGCACTTGAGCCGTCCTCTGCTGCTTTTCAGGCACAGTAGCAGGGAGCTGGATCAGAAGGGGAGCAGGGCCCGGCACTGTGGCACAGTGGGTTAAAGCTGCCGCCTGCAGCACCAGCATCCCATATGGGTGCCAGTTTGGTCCCGGCTGTTCTACTTCCAATCCTGCTCTTTGCTGTGCCCTGGGATAGCGGTAGAAGATGGCCCAAGTCCTTGGGCCCCTGCACCCATGTGGGAGACCCGGAAGAAGCTCCTGGCTCCTGGCTTCGGATCAGCATAGCTCCAGCCATTGCGGCCATCTGGGGAGTGAACCAGCAGATGGAAGACCTCTCTCTCTGTCTCTACCTCTCTCTGTAACTCTTTCAAATAAATAAAATAAATCTTAAAAAAAATAAATTTTCCTTTTCAGAGACAGAGACAGGTAAGAGAGAGAGAGAGCTCCCATTTACTGTTTCACTCCCCAAATGCCCGCAGTGGCAGCGGCTGTGGGGGGCTGAAGTGGGAAGCAGGGGGCAGGACCCACCTCACTGGGCCATCACCTGCTGCCTCCCAGGAGCCCTGACTGCTCCACTTCTTTTTTTTTTTTTAAGATTTATTTTATTTATTTGAAAGAGTTACAGAGAGAGGTAGAGCCACAATGCTAACCCTTGAAGGTGTGTTTCAAATGACTGCTTTCTCTTTTTCTTTAAAAAGAAAAATTTATTTGGTAGGCAGAGAGACAGAGCGCCCGTGGCTGGTTCACTCCCTAAATGTGCACAAGGGCTAGGGCTGGGCCAGGCCAACGCTGGGCACCAGGAATGCAGTCTCCCCTGTGGGGGGCAGGGACTCAGCTACTTGGGCCAGCACCTGCTGCCTTCCAGGGCCGGTATTAGCAGGGGAGCTGGGAGCTGAAGCCAGCTGTGCAGCCTGGGAGACCGCTTAACCACTAGGCCAAATACCCACCCCAGGACCATTTTCCAAGGTGGCCCTCGTCCACTCTAAGTTTGACTTTCCTATCAACTGCTCATGTCTTAATGTTTTGGTGACTTTTGCCGTGTGCACAGTGACACGCCGGGCTCTGTGAGTGGTACCGTCATCTGTTCAGTTGAACAGAAAAAAACGAAAGAAAACACAGTTCACTCCACCTCTGGCTCATCTGGAGTCTTGTTTTCCAAACCTCCAAAACATAGCCCCAGCACGACAGCTTTTGGCTGTCACTCCGTCACGTCCATTGTCAGCACCCTGCCTCCAGAAAGGCCACCATCGTCTCCTGGAGATACCTTCCCCAGCTGCCCTCCTTCGGTCCCCTTTAAAAACCCATGCTGGCATGTGCAGCAGTGGAACCCGCTCACGGCGTGCGTGGTGTCCTGTACGGGCCCGACACGGTCGCTGTCAGCACCGCACAGTTTGAGGACGTCTGCATCACCAACCCCGGGCCATCGTTGACCTCTGTGTCTTATGCACTGCAGCCTAAGGAATCTTCCAGCGTCTCATACGTCACTCTGACCCCAGGCTTCACATTCCACAGAGCATTAAGACCCCAACCCCATGGCTTGGCCTATGGGCCTGGCTCTCCCAGGCCGCCTGTCTGCGGCACTCAGTGCCAGACAGTGGGGAGAGAGCTGGAGGAGGCCTGGGGACAGACACCGCGTGGAGGACGCCCCTTCGTGTCGGAAGCGACACTGTCCCCTGTTCAAGTTCAAGGAGGAGGTAGAAAGTGTTCCCCTGGCCGGCGCCGCGGCTCACTAGGCTAATCCTCCGCCTTGCGGCGCCGGCACACCGGGTTCTAGTCCCGGTCGGGGCGCCAGATTCTGTCCCGGTTGCCCCTCTTCCAGGCCAGCTCTCTGCTGTGGCCAGGGAGTGCAGTGGAGGATGGCCCAGGTGCTTGGGCCCTGCACCCCATGGGAGACCAGGAGAAGCACCTGGCTCCTGGCTTTGGATCAGCGCGGTGTGCCGGCCGCGGCGGCCATTGGAGGGTGAACCAACGGCAAAGGAAGACCTTTCTCTCTGTCTCTCTCTCTCACTGTCCACTCTGCCTGTCAAAAAAATAAATAAATAAAATAAAGTGTTCCCCCGCAGCAGAGGACGGGGTGGACAGTGGTTTCACTGTCTTCGCTCGCAAACCGGGAATGGGACGTAGCCTCCCTCCCGAGCGTGTCCCTCACCCTCAGTCACTCCTGCTGTGCCGACCCATTCCTGGGATAACCTGCTCTGCCCAGACGTCCACGCAGGCCCTGTGAATGGCATCTCCAGTCCTCGTACCTGTTGGGAGCAGAAGTTAAACGATTCTCCTCTTATCTCACTCTCCTGCCAGCGGCCAGCGGCCAGCAGCAAGTCCCACCTCCTGTGCCCCTAACGCACATCACAGAAGGTTTCTGTCCACACCTATGTCACCCCGCGTGCCTGAGCCCCGTTGTCCTGCCCTCAGCCCCCGGCAGAGCCCCTGCTTCCTCCTCCACGCGTGGCCAGAGCCATCTTTGAAAAACTGAAAATCAGCACAGTGCTCCCGTGTCTTCCCATCCCACCTGGGATAAACCCAGACGCCTTCCCACGGCCTGCAGGCCTTCCTACCTTCCCGGCTGCATCTGTTCCCGAGCCTCGCCCACCCTGACTCTTCACAGCTCCAGTCGTGTGGCTTGTGGCTGCTGCGGGGACAAACCCACTCCTGTGGTGACCTGCCCGCCCGCCCGCCCTCCCTCCCTCCCTTCCCTCCCTCCCTCCCTCCCTCCTTCCCTTCCTCCCTCCCTTCCTTCCACCCATCCATCTGTCCATCCACCCATCCATCTCTCTATCCACCCACCCGCCCACCCATCCACCCATCCAGGATTTTATACTTCTTTGACAGGCAGTTCCTCCTCTGCTCTCCACGGCACGTTAGCAGGGAGCTGATCAGAAGCGGAGCAGCCGGACTGGAGCTGTTGCTGAGGCCTTGTTCCAGCTCCTGGTGGTGCAGGCTGCACCGCGCTCTCCCCTCCCAGGAAGGACTAGGTTGTTATCTCTGCTGCGGGTCCAGTGCGCCGGCAGGCAGAGTGAGCGCTGGCGTTCCGAGTGCGCGACCGCCGCAGTGGGCGGCAGTGCTAGTGGGAAGGTGGCTGGGGCTTGGGGAGAGGGAAGCCAGGTGGGAGGCTGTGCTGTGGGCCGGCCATGCCTCCGGGCCGCGAGGCTGACAGTTCAGGGCTCAAAATGATTGGGGGAGGGGTTAGAACCTGTGAGGGCAGGGCCTGGGGGCTGTGTGGCCAGAGCACTGGGGAGCAGGGGAAGGGGTTTCTGGGAGCTGCCGGGGGGCTGGTGCAGGATGGATCGGATGCTGCAGAGTGAGGCGCCGAGCACATTCCCAGAGTCCTTTGTGGCAGCGTCTGGACGCAGGCACCAGCACCCGGCCTGAGCTGAGCGCTGCGGTCTGGAGGCTGTCTTGGGGGGGGTGTGCTCAGAAGGGGCTGGGGAGACGCCTCCCCTCAGACGTGGGAGGGAAGGCAGGTTCCCCACAGAAATCAGAGCGGCCGTTCCCTGCGAGGGTCCCAGCCCCTGGCAAGTCAGTGCGTGTCCGGGGTGTGTGTGTGTGTGGGGGGCAGGAGTGAGGCTGTCCAGGGGCGGTGCAGGCTCGGGGTGATGGCAGGGATGCGGGGGCCTCGGTCCAGCTGCAGGCTCTGGAATTCGGGCCCCAGGGAGCAGTGCCCTGTGGCCCCTGCTGGGGGGGCTCCGTGCAGGCAGGGGGCAGCAACGAGAAGGCAGCCCTGCAGCTGCCGCCTCGTGGTCCCGGTCGCCGACTGACCCCAGACCACTGTCTCCCGCCCCTGTGGTTTTTGTCCTCCGCTGTGTTCCCAGGCTTTCGGCCTCCTTGAACAGGAGGTCCTTGAACTCCCTTCCTCCCTCAGTGGGGGACTTGGGCTGTTTGCGGCTAAGCAGGAAACGGGGCTGTGGGGCCCCTCGCCGCCCCCACCCCGCCGCCCTCCCTCTGACCTCTCCCCATTGGGCCTGCCTTTGCTGGGAACTGGTCTGGCCCCTCCGTGGGCTCGCAGCTGCTGCCCAAGCTGGACTGGATGGCCTCTCTGGCCTTGTGGCCATGGCCCCGTGGCCCCGGGTGCTTGATGGTGAGGTCAGCACCCTCAGGGCCTCGAAGCCCTCTGGGTTCTGGCCTGCATGAAGGGGCACGGAGAGGTTCCTGGGGCCTCTCTGTATTTGACTAGAGTGACAGTGGTGACGGCTACTTCTGAGCCACGAGAGAAGGCTTTGGCCAGTGCTGCCAGCCCTGGGGGCCAGGGGACCTCTGGGCGGAGGCCTGGTCGGCACAGCCCGGGACCCCCAGCGCCTGCTCCGGTCCACTGATGGTGCCTTGTGGGGGCCTCTGCAGAAGCTGCTAATGGACGCTCTTGGGAGAGGCTGCCCTGTTTCCTGGTGCACGGGCCCTACCCGGGCCTGCGGTTTGCAGGCCTGGCCCTGTCTCTCTCCTTTGGGTGGAAGGGAGAGGAAAATGCCGGGAGCAGGCAGGGGTCGCTCTGCCTCGTCCGCCGTGGCCTCTGAGGGCGCAGATGGGGGTGTGTCCATCCCGCGTGGATCCAAGTCCTCAAAGGCGGCCTGCCCTGGCCACGCCCCCTCTCATCCGGGAAGCTGAGCGGAGCTGGGCCTGGTTAGGGCTTGGGTGGGAGAGGGCTGGTCCCGGAATGTTCCGGTGAGCGGAGGGACGGGTGGTGGGTGTCGGCCACGAGAGCATGGCCTGGGCCGGGCTCCCCCTCCCCCAGCCTGCATGGCCTCGGCCGTGCGGTTTTGCCAACAGCTCAGGGGTTCCTCTAAGATCGTGTCGTTTCTAGAATTTTTTTCTGAAGTATCTTGCACACTTGCACGTTGCCTTCTGCCAAGAGTGTCACTCAAAGGGGCGTGACCTCTGTCCTGTGCTCAATGGCTCACGCATAACTGTAGGTACCCGCTGGGCATCATGGGTGAAGAACCAGCGATCTCTGTGGATGTTTTCTGTTATTTCCCTCGCCGTGTGGATACTTCAGCGAATGGGGCTCCCTCCCGGGGAAGGAGGCTGGAGCCGTGGCCAAGGAGCCGTGTCATCCCGCGGGCACGTGTGGCGCGTGGGAGCGATGGCTTCCTTGCCCGTCTTTAATCCCTGTTTCAGAAGCTTTGAACGTCAGGCTGGGTAGATCCAGCGGCAGGAGGCGTGCAGAGGCTGAGCTCTGTCGGACGCGTGCGCCGTGTCCGCCGTGTCGCCCCATCCGCATCAAGCCCAGACGTGGCCGCTGCCCGGGCAGCTTCCTCTCCCCCCTCTGCTGGCAGTGCCCCGGGAGCACCCTGTCCTGACCGCTGTCCGACATCGCAGCCTGGCGCTTCGAGAACCTCCCAGGAGCGGACCCGGGCTGTGTTCTCTTTTCTCAGCAGCGTTGTCCCAGACTGACCCGCGTGTCAGCCGGCTTGTGAAGGCCCAGAGAGGGTCAGAGCACAGCAGGGGTGGGGCGTTGCGGGGAGCGCACAGCGTGCTGGGGAGACCAGCGGCAGCCGGGGGTCCTGGGCCTGCTGTCCGAGGCACTGGTTTAGTTGGAGGAGTTGACCGGTGCACTTGTCGCCAGAGCCCTGAAAACCGCCCGTCCCTGAATTGTGAGAGACAAAAAATAAGCTTTGGGGGAAGAGAGAGAAGGGGCCGTCCCTGTCACCCCATCTCTGGTCTGGAAAAACCCATCGTGTAGTGGGGCTCATCCTCCCAACCTTCGTCTGTGTGTTTTTCTTTTTTAAAAATATTTATTTTATTTATTAGAAAGGCAGAGAGAGAGAGAGAGAGAGAGAGAGAGAGAGAGGGGTCTTCCATCTGCTGGCTCACTCCCCAGATGGCCACAACGGCCAGGAGCCAGGAGCTTCTTCGAGGTCTCCCGTGACCATGCCTGCAGGCCATCACGTGGTCTGCCGCACAGGTGCTCTCAGGCTGTGGACGCTGGGACGCCTGGCCTTCTGCTGTGGTTGGCAGTCATCCTGCCTCGCGCTGTCCGTGCTCTCTCCTCCTCCCCTTGTTGACCTGTTCTGGTTCCGAGTCTGCGGTGGGCATTCCCAGCAGACGGTCTCTCATCCCTGGAGGGTTTCCCTCGAGGACCCGCAGAGTCTTTGCACAGCTGATGTTGGCTCCTGCTTCCGTCTTGCTGGGTGTCAGGCAGGCGCGGCCGCGGGGTGGCAGGCTGTCTCAGGGCTGTGGGCTGTCGCCGCCTTCTCTGAGCGCTGTTCCCTGGGGTTGTGAGGTTTAGGACAGTGCCAGTCGTTTGCCATTGCCATGTTTGATCTTGGTGTAAAGTCGGGGAAACACGAGCAGGTGCACCCTTGTCTGTGGGCAGGGCAGGAACAGGCGTGTTGCTCCTCCTGTCTCCCTGTCAGTCCTCGTAATCCTGCCTGTGTACAATTTCCGGAAGACCAGGAACCTGGTGCGTCTGCCGTCCTCACGGCTCTTGGTGCAGTGTTTCTGACTTACTCCTGGGTTCTCCTGGATCGACTGTGGTCCTCTTTGCACCCCTCCTCTGCTTCCGTCCCCGTTAACCCTTGCGTTCCTCTCTGGCAGGAGCTGGTGGTGATGGGCGCCCCAGGGTCGTTCTATTGGGCTGGGACGGTCAAAGTGCTGAACCTGACGGACAACACCTATTTCAAGCTGAATGACGATGTGATCATGAGCAGGCGGTACACCTACCTGGGTGAGTGACGGGGAGGTGCAGGTGAGAGACGGCGGCAGGGCCAGTTCCCCCAAGCTCACAAGTGACTGCTTTGTTGGTGGAAAGAAGAAGTTCTGGTTAGGGGTGCTTTTAGCCAGGAAGCCGTGGGATCTAGTCCCACACGGAGTGGAAGCCGTAGAAGGGACCTGAACTCCAACTGGGTGATTTGATGAACAGCCTGACAGCTACACCACAGGGGAGGCAGACGCTGTGTTTCCTTCTTTGAACAGTTTCTCAGGTTCAGATATAAACGAATGCAAGGGAATTCTGGACTCTTGAATGGGGTCCCCGCCTCCTGGTGACAAAGCGACTTTTAGGAAGAGCCAGAAATCACCATGACGGTGGCAGTCTCGGGTTGAGGTTTACTGACAAGACCCGGAGGGCAGGCAGCTGCGGCCCGCGTTGGGCTGGGTTTGGTGCCCACCTCGAGCTCCCGACCCCAGCTTCCTGCTCCTGCAGACCCTGCGAGCCGGCACTGACCGCTGCAGGACTTGTTTCCTGCCACTCACGGGCGTGACAGGTTGGGTTCCTGACTCCTGGCTTCAGGCCGGCCCACTCCTGGCTGTTGTGGGCGTTTGGAGAGCGGACCAGAGGATGAGAGTTCTCTCTCCTTTTGTCTGTCTACATCGCAAAAATAAAAATCAGAGAAATTTTTCTGATTGTCTCTACCTTTCCAGTCTTCTAGAAAGACACAATTTGATTTAGCAGCCGTCAGCACGGGTGGTGCTGGGCCCAGGCCCTGCCCATTTAAGAAAAGAGACGGGCTGTCTTTGCTCGTGCTGATGACAATGAGAAGATTCTTTTCCTTAGTCCACACCTCCAGTGCTCTAGTTCTGGACTGAAAGTGAAGCTGAGCTTAGGGAGGCCTGCAGGGGACAAGACAGTCAGGGAAGCCCTGGTCCCCGCCTGCCTGGGGCGTCGGGGGGAGTTCCTGGTTAGGTCAGGGCAGGACATTGCTGCTGGCCATTTCCCTGTGACATGGGTGCTGCCATGGGTTTGCTCTGAGCCTCAGGGGTGTGGGCTGCTGTACTCGCCCCGCTCCTGTGGCTCTGTGTCCACGGAATTCCTGACACAGCCTCATGAGGCGGCCGCCGTTATCATCCACGTGTTGTGGTTTCGGAGACTGACGTGCAGAGAGGTCCTGCAGCTCGCTGACGTCATGTGGCAGAGCTGGGGCGCAGAGGCTGAGCCTGGGCCACCTCCCCTGAGTGAGCCACCGAAATGCCACCTGCCACCATGGCCAAACCCCTGCCAAGGCGGGGTCTCACGTTCCCAGGGCGTGGCACAGTTCCGGCCGTGTAGTAGCAATCCCGCACGAGCTCACTGCAGTGGAGTGAGGAGAAGGCAGAAGAAAGGCGGTTTAAATAAACTGCGGGGTCTGCGGCGTCTCCCTGTGTACAGAGCAGAGCCCCCCCCTCCCCCCCGCGCCGTGGGATTGCAGCCGTCTGGAGGCTTTGACGCGTCCGTCTCTTAGCGGTGTGGGCTTCGGCTTGGGCGAAGTCAGCCACGCGGTGTCGTCACAGACGTGAGCAGCTTACGATCCCAGCACAGGGCTTGAGGGGGACGGCAAGGTTTGGGGAGTGGACGGCAGCTGGGAGAGGGCTGGCCAGAGGAGGATCTCAGCCTCCCAGCTGGGCAGGAGGCACGAGGACCAAGCCCAGTCTACCGTCGCTTTTGTCCGTAGATCACGTTTGCATTAGATTCTTAGGCTGACTGACCGACCGTCCGTCCGTCCATCCATCCATCCATGTCCGCTTTGACCTTTTCCCTAGAAGGAGCATGAGCGTGGTCATCAGCCAGGGCTCCAGAGGCCGCAGGTTGGGTGTGATCTGGGGCACATTGCTCAGCATGTGCTGCTCCTTCTAAATCTGTAGAACAGGAGGCACAGGCACAGAGCCGCTGGACAGAAGAAATGGAAGCGTCAGAGGCTTGTCTGGGAATGCTCATAGCAACGAGACTCAGCTCGGCCCCAGGCTGGAAGCAGCCCACGTGACTGCCCAGCACCAGGGCCACAGGTGGGACGCACGCATCCCCTGGACCTGCTCAGCGCAAGAACAAAAAGCAAGCAGAGAAATGTCCAGGTGTCGTGCTGAATGGAGTTTAGAAAAGGCGAAGCTGGCGTGTAGTGGTGGAGAGCGGAACGACGCTCCCAGTGACTGGGAAAGGGCGGGAGGGAACCCGGGGGCTCTGGTTCTGCAGTGCTGTCGTTTGAGCGGGGTGGGGGCCGCGTGGTTGGTACGCATGCACCTGTTCGTCCAGTTCCGCCTTTCAGGTGCGTGTGGTTACTGGATGGCCGTTGTAGCTGAGCGCGTGCGGGTTCCTGGGAGGACCCCAGGAGGCGCTCTTCCATGCCCCCATGGCCTTCGGAACAGTGCCAGGGAGAAGATGGGCAGCTGCCGTTTGTTCCCTGGGGGTTGTCTCCAGGGCGGCTGCAGCGTACCTGTCTGTATCGGGGACGCCTGAGTGGTTCCTCCCTCTGATGGGTGTTTCTTTCTCAACCCTGTCCCTGCTCTCCACCCGTGCTGTCCAGGCTATGCAGTGACCGCTGGCCACTTCTCTCACCCGTCCACCACCGACGTGGTGGGAGGTGCCCCCCAGGACGAAGGCGTCGGAAAGGTGAGGGGAAGGCCTGTGGGGTGGCAGGGGTCGGCCGGGGCGGGTGCTGCCTCCACTGTGGGGGCCGCTGACCTGAGCTATCGCCTGGGTAGCTGGCGGATGTGTGACAGGTAGGGAGAACCCCCCGACTGCTTCCTTCTGCCTGGGAGTTCTGCTGGACTCAGAGTGTGAACCCTGCTCACCCTCTCTGTTCTTTACAGCTGACTCTGTGTGTGTGTATGTGTGTATGTGTGTGTGTGTGTGTGTGTGTGTGTGTGTGAGAGAGAGAGAGAGAGAGAGAGAGAGAGAGAGATTTCCAAGACTGAGCCCTGGCGTCACGCACCCTTCAAAGCAGGGACATCCAGTGCTGTCCAGCTGCCTGGCCGTCCCCCTCCGGCTCCTTCCCGTGCTTGGCTTTGGCTTCGTGCAGCTTTAGTTATGCCCCGAGTCCTCCTCCTTTTTTCTCCCGGGGCTTAGGGGGAGCACTGGGCTCCTGACGCATCTCGAGGCTGCACGGGCGTAGGCCTGGCCGTCCTCGGGATGAGCGCACCTGCCACATGCCTGGTTTTAGCAGAACTCCTCGGAACAAGCTGAGGACAGCCGTGGTCATTGCTTCCGTCCTAACCAGACCTTTGTTTCACCCCGCAGGTTTATATTTTCAGAGCTGATCGGCGATCCGGCACGCTGACCAAGGTTTTTCAGGCATCAGGTAAAAAGGTGAGCCCTCCCGGGGTAAGTGCTGGGTTCCGTTTGCGAGCGGGACCACGAGGCGTCACTCAGCACTTTCTACAACTTTCACATAGAGGCTTCGTGTTCGTTTGCTGGTCCTGTCTGCACTAGTCTCAGCTGTGTGTGAAACCTGTGGGTTTTGTGGGCTTACTTTAGGAGGCATCGTGTAGGAGCTGAGTCTGTGCAGTGCTGAGTGACAGCGCAGACATTCAGAGGTTGTCCCTGGCTCAGGCACTGGCATCCCACGTGTCACGAGGCTGCCTCCTGCCTCCTGCCTCCGTGTCCACTCTGCCCCTTCTCCTGCGTGTGCACCTGCAAGCCCGGGGAGGTCAGGGCAGAGGAGGACAGGTGGCAGAGCTATTGCACGTGAGTGATGGCTTTTACAGGACAGAGGTGGACAGGTGCACGTCGCCGTCCCCATCTCAGCCCAGTGCTGGGCACCCCTCTCCCTGTGTCCTCACTGTCACTGCCATTCTGGTCACGCACACACATCCGGACAGAAGCCACCCTGTCTCTCTGAGAACCTCAGAGCAGGAGGCTGCCCTGAAGCGGGCCCCGCCCTGAAGGCTCCCTGCCACGCCACGATCCACGCCACGATCCACGCCACGAGGCCTTGACTGTGCTACCACGTTATCCCGGGCTTGTCAGCTGTTCTCAGTGCAGCGTGCATCCCAGGGTGTTTGGCTGAGATCGCCTGGTTGAGGCCGTGAGGTTTGGGGTAGTTTGGAGGATGGATGTGGCGGAGCTCTGGGAGGGAGCGGAGGGCGCCGGCAGTGAGGAGACTGCGGGAGACAGGAGTGCACCGGCAGGTGTGTCCACCCTCCCTGCCCTGAGACAGTGGGAGAGCGGCGCTGGTAGTGAGGAGACCGCAGGAGCAAAGAACGCTGGGGGGTGCATCTACCCGACCCTGCCCTGAGACAGTGGGAGAGCGGCGCTGGTAGTGAGGAGACCGCAGGAGCCAAGAATGCTGGGGGTGCATCCACCCTCCCTGCCCTGAGACAGTGGGAGAGCCCTGTTCCCTCCCCGCGCCCCAGTTCTGCCCCTGCTGTGTTAGTCCTGCTGCCCGCTGGCCTGGAACCATCCCACCGATCCCATATTGGGTATGCCGAGCCCTCCTCTGAGTCTGGGTCTCCCTCACAGACTTCTGGGCAGTTTTCGCAGTCCTCTATCCAGATGTCAGGGATGATGGTGCCACTCATCTGAATAAAAAAACAACTCATCCGCAAAGTCAGCGCTGCATTTTTCTCACATCGGCTTTGCACCTCCCCCCACCAGGAACTGTGCGGGCCTGTGTTATTCTAACATTTCCAAAACCCCGAAGCAACAACATTGGAAAATGACTGAGGTTTTCCAAGCACGCCTTAGGTTAGAAAATAAATAGCCACAGGCTGTGTGCTACAGGGAGGCCCCCGGATGTGAGTGCTAGGAAGCCCGACACTTCAGATCCTTCTCCAAGAAATAACCCCCGGGCAAGCGAACTCCGCTCCCTCCGCTGCCAACGCACCTGAGCTCGAAGGCGTGAAGTTAAAGTGTTCCTGGCGGTGACTGCTGCCGGGGGGACATGCTGCCACCCTGGCTGCCGAGCCTCCTGGTGTTCTGTCACAGCGGAGCCCCCTAACCCGCTTTGCCCTCCCCTCCACTCCCTGCTGCCTCGGCCGGCTCAGGCCGGCATCAGCAACAACCTGGACTTGTTCCTTCTCTTCTTGAACAACCCTGCTTTGGACACTAACTTTACTTATTTATTATTATTATTATTATTATTATTGACAGGCAGAGTTAGAGAGAGAGAAAGAGACAGAGAGAAAGGTCTTCCTTCTGTTGGTTCACCCCCCAAGTGGTTGCTATGGCCGGTGCTGCGCCGATCCAAAGCCAGGAGCCAGGTGCTTCTCCTGGTCTCCCATGGGGTGCAGGGCACAAGCACCTGGGCCATCTTCCACTGCACTCCCGGGCCACAGCAGAGAGCTGGACTGGAAGAGGAGCTACCGGGACAGAATTGGCGCCCTGACCGGGACTAGAACCCCGTGTGCCGGCGCTGCTAGGTGGAGGATTAGCCTAGTGAGCCGCGGCGCCTGCCGTACTTATTTATTTTTTTAAAGACTTACTTATTTATTTTTTTAAAGACTTACTTATTTGAAAGTCAAGGTTACACACACACATACACACACACACACAGAGGCGAGAGAAAGAGAGAGAGAGAGAAAGAAAGAATCTCCCATCTACTGGTTCACTCCCCAGATGGCCTCAACAGCCTGGGAAGGCCTGACCAAAGCCAGGAGCCACAAGCTTTTTCTGGGTCTCCCACGTGGGTGCAGGGCCCAAGCACTTGGTTTGTCCTCTGCTGCTTTCCCGGGCGCATAGCAGGGAGCTGGATGGGCAGTGGAGCAGCCGGGACTTAAACCGGTGCCCGTGTGAGATGCTGGTGTTGCCGGCAGCAGCTTTTACCCGCTGTGCCACGCGCCGGCTCCCCAGAGACTAACTTAACGCAGCCACCCACCTCTGCCCAGGCTGGTCAGGTGCGGGGGTGGATCAGCCGTAGGTGCTGTGAGGGACCAGGTGAACCGGCACGCACTCGTCCAGACTCCCCGCGGACACGGTGCGGTCACGTTCTGGGACAGACTTGCATGTCCGTAGTGTGATGGACACAGAGCCTGTTCCAGAGGAGGGGCCGGCGGGGCCTGGCTGTGCGGGGCGCAGCTGCAGAACCGCGGGGCCCTCCTCCTCCCCCTGCCATCACACCGTCTGGAGCCGCCCTTTCGTTTCGGGCCTCTGTCCCAGTGTCTCCAGGTAGCTCCGCCCCCGGCGTCATCGCTCGGGTTCTGAAGCCAGCGTCCTCTCTCTTCCTGTTGCTTATCCTGCCTCTCGCCAGGAGAAATGCGGCCTTCTGGTTTCTGACTTCTCCGTTCGCTCTCGGGGCGAGGCCTTGGCCCCTGGCTGTCCGAGGATGCCTTTACTTACCCCTGGGCCCAGCACAGCACACAGGGCGGGGCTCCAGCCCAGCGAGCCCCCCTCCCCACCATTCATTTCTGCTTTGTTTGGCTCAAATCTGGTCAGAGGATCCTGCATCCTGGCTCCCCATCAGGAAAAAGCAAACCCAACACCAAGTAGCGCGATCCTGGTCTCCACACGCAGTGCGTGCGCCATCGCTGACACCTGGGTGCTTCCCGTGTCTCTCCAGGCACCCAGCTCCTCATTCCTGGCCTTCCGGGAGCTCTGACCAAGGGGCCTTCTCCCAAGAGCGCATCGTGGCCATCCTGGACTTGTGTTGAATTCCCAGATTACGCAGATCGCGTGTGCTTCAAAAGCTAGGTGGGCAGCTTCCTGCCCAGGGGGCTCTGGTGCAACACCGCCCGCGGTGCCAACTTAACTAGCCCACTGGGCGGGGAGGGGGCTCAGATCAGCAGTGGGCAGGGCCACCGAGTGGGTGACTATCAACTTGGGTTCTGCCCCTCCCCACCTCTGATTCCAGCCCTGCCCCGTGCTCTGCTCTGTGGAGAACTGGGGAGAGCGGTGGCTTTGGCAAGGGCCAGGCAGTGGGGGAGGATTTCTGAGAGGCCACCGCAAAGCCCTGCTGTGCCAGCGCCGTCGCAGGAAGTAGATTGGAGCAGGCTCGACCTCAGCCGCCAGCTTGCTCCAGGCGATGAGAGAAAGGCTTGTTTGTGTTCATAAAACCAGAGCCCTTTGAAAACATTTATTTTAGAAGGGCGGCACTTAAACATATATGTTATTATTATTATTGTTGTTACTATTATTTTAAAATGGAGATTGCAAAACTGGCAGCCTTTGGCAAAGATAGAGCCTACAGCATTTTGTGTTTGGCCTGTGCAATGCCTGTGAATTATGAATGCCAGCATTGAACACTGGGCACTTTCCACGGCATTGTAGGTTCTCGGCTTCTCTTGAAGAAGGGGAAGCTTGATTGTCTGCAGGTTGGTCTTCCCCTGGGCTGTCGTTGGGCGGGAGCCACTCCTGGATTTGGAATGCTTAGTGTAGAGTAGGCTCTGCTGGAAGACGAGCCCCTGTTGGGGCTGCTTGGCTTCCGTGGAGTCACGGTCCCTTGCCCCGTCGTTGGTGAGAAACACAGAGAGGCTGAACACGCAGTCCCCGCACCTGATCCCCGCCATCGGTGCTCTGGAGTGGCAGTGCGTGCCCCGAGGTCGCGGGCTGCCCCGCCTGGCCGGGGTTCACGGTCCCGTCCCTGGGGAAGGGGCACAGCGCAGAGCTGCAAGCTCGCTTCCGCTGGATCCACTTTGCTTTTGCACCGTCCTGCAGTGGAAGGCGCAGGAGCCGAGTGCTGTGGCTCGGGGCCCCTGCGTGTGCAGCGGCTCTGCCCCCTTCCCAGTGGTACCTCTTCTGTCACTTCACGTCCTGCCCCCCTCGGCCGTCTTTAGCCGCCCAGACCCTGGAGAGGCCCTGACTTCTTCCTGAGATATTTATTTTCATGTCTGGTGAACTTTCATATTCCTGTTCGCCTGGCCTTGTCAAATGCCACATATATGAGGCACTTAAAAAAAAAAGATTTATTGTATTTATTTGAAAGAGTTGCAGAGAGGGAGAAGGAAAGGGGGAGAGAGAGATTGATCTTCCATCCGCTGGTTCACTCCCCAAGTAGCTGGGCAGACCAAAGCCAGGAGCCAGGAGCTTCTTCCTGGTCTCCCACGTGGGTGTGGGGGCCCAAGCACTTGGGCCATCTTCTGCTACTTTTCCCGGGCCACAGCAGAGAGCTGGATTGGACGTGGAGCAGCCGGGACTCACACAGGCTCCCACGTGGGATGCTGGCGTCACAGGCAGAGGCTGCAACCTCTGTGTCTTGATGCCAGCCCTGGGGCACCTTCTCACTGTGGCGACTCCATGTGTAGCCTCCTCTTAGATGTTTAAAAACAGCGCTGCATTCTCCGGGCAGGGGGTCTCTGTCTGCCTGTGAGGGGACTTCAGGAGACGGGAACCCCAAGCCAGTTAGCTTGGCTCTCAGATTGGGCCCTGCTGGCTGCCAGAAAGCCCACTGAGGCTGCCCGGGCAGTGTCGGGGTTGTCACAGCCGCCGTGGGGCTGGAGGTTGTCACAGTCACTGCGGGGCTGAGGGTCGTCACAGTCACTGCAGGGCTGGGGGTCGTCACAGCTGCCAAGGGGCTGAGGGTCGTCACAGTCACTGTGGGGCTGGGGGTCGTCACAGCCGCCGTGGGGCGGGGAGTGGGTGTTGGTGGAGGAGGAGGGTGAGGCTTCTGTGGGAGCACAGACACTGAACGCTTTGTTGCCCTCCCCTTGGTTGCAGATGGGCTCTTACTTCGGCTCCTCCTTGTGCGCAGTGGACCTGAACGGCGATGGCCTCTCTGACCTGCTGGTGGGGGCCCCCATGTTTTCTGAGATCAGGGACGAGGGGCAGGTGACCGTCTACATCAACAGAGGAAACGTGAGTACGAAGCTGGGCAGAGGGGTATGAGTGTGGGGGTGGGACCTAGCAATCATGCAGGCATGCGCTGGGCGTGCAACTGTGGAGACTGAGGCCAGAATGTGAGGCTGGTCAGCATAGGGAGAGCCAGGGGACAAAGAGAGAGCCACAGCCGCTCACGCTGCGTGGTGCCTCTGAGGTCTGCAGGCTCCTCCAAGACCTGGGAGGGAAGACGCTTCTCTGGATGATGGCGATGACTCTTGGCCGTGCCAGGAAGGCGCAGCAGGGAGGGACTTGGGCAGGAATGAGGTCGCTGTGTGGGGAACAGCAGTGGGCATTCGGTGAGCGTGCCTGCCAGCGTGTCTGCAGGAGGCCGAAACATTTTCCCGGGCACTGGGCCCAGCAGATCCACTGGTGTCTGCGTCAGGAGTGGAATTGTGGAGCATGATAGTGTCCCAGACCCGCTGTGGGTGTGATGCCACTACTCATGGTGCTTCCCTGGCCGGCATGTCCCCAAGGACGAGGGTATCTTACTCCCGTGGAACCCTGGCCCATTGAACATTGATTGCAAGGCGGATGGAGGGGTGGAAGAGCAGGAAGCTTGGGGGCTGGGTGGGAGTTTGAACCATGGTGCTGTGGGAGGATGAGGGCGATCTGTTTCGTCTCACCTTGAAGAAGGATTTCCACATGGACGGGGCCAGTGAGCAGAGTGAGCTTGATTGAAAGTGCGAAACCTGGTGTGCAGGGAGCTGTCGCCAGCGAAGCTTGCCAGTGCTGGCTCTTTTATACACAAATTGGCTCCCTCTGATTGGCCCCTTTCTGGAAAGTGAGTAGAATTGTAACCAGTCAAGGGGAGGGGCAGAATAACAACCAGTAGGGAGGCCAAAATACCAACCAATCAGAAGGCAGGGATAACAGATAATCAGGGATCTGAAAGTGTATGCTAATAAGACATGCTACATGAACCAATCAGGGAGCCACCTTTGGCGTGGCCTGTTCTGCACAGACGTGTGCAGAGCGTTCAGTCAGGTCCCTTCAGCCGACTCAGCGACGTCTGAAGGGCACACTGTGTCTGTCCCCACCCCGCCTGGCTCCTGGCTCCTGCTCTCTCAGGGCTCCTGGAGTTATACTGTGTGGCGTCCTTTTCCTTGGTTTTGGCACTTCCTAGCCTGTTGCTCCCCCATTCGCGGAGGAACGACACTGGACCCTGCGCTGTTCTCTTTGCCCGGCTCTTCCCGGGTTAGCTGCCGATCCCTCACTTGCGGAGGAACGACGCCGTCCCGGGTTAGCTACCGGCCCCTCCACCTCCCTGGAGGGGCGGAACCCCCTCCGCTTTCCCCGCTTCCGTGGAGGAGCGGCACACCGCCAGCCGGCTCTCTCGGGGGCTGCTCAGATGTTATCCGGATGTTCCCCTTAGGTGTTCCTGGTGCATGTGGTCTCTCTCCTCCTTTATAGTCCTCTTCCACCAATCCCAGCTCTGCTGCCCACACGCCAAGCACGCTGCTCTCCTCCAATCAGGAGCAGGATCAGCTCCTGCAGCTTATCAAACTGATGAGGCAGCTGCGTAGAGGTTGTTTGGTCTCTCTCTCAGCGCCATATTGTGGGAGAGCAGATGCATAGAATAAGTCTTAATTCCAGTAACTTAGTCTAGTCTCAGTTGCTCCCTACACTAGCCCACGTGACGTGACTAGGTAGCCCGAAGCTGGTGACCTAGTTTCCTTGTCCTTGAAGTGGGAAGGATCGTGTCCTTGTGGAGTCCTGGTGTGATTCAGATGAGGGGGTGGCTACACGGCACCTGCTACGTAGACAGCCATTGGTGCCTTCTCCTCTTGCCCGTCTCTGTACCAGGAGCAAATCAGTGCATCCAGCGAAGGCTCCATACTCAGGGCTGCCACATCCGTGGACTCAGCCAGCCGTGGGTTGCACCTGCTCGGGGGAGGTTGCCTCTGTACTGCACATGCACACTCTGGTTCTTGCTGCTGTTTCCTAACCCACGCAGCACCGCTAGCGTTTATGTGTCATAACCTTGTGTTAGGCAAGCAATCTGGAGGCGACTGAGGCGCAGAGGTTGTGCCAGCGCGGCAGCATCTTACGTAAGGAGCGTGAGCATCTGTGGTTCTGATACCCACCGTGGGGTCCTGGCAGCAGCCCCCTCGGCTCCAGGGTGGTGATGGCGTTGTTGTTTGGGTTGGGGAGCTTTGCTGACTCAGGAATCATCATGTCCTTAGCGTTTGCAGGTTGCAGACTGTGTTTATGGCGAGCAAGCCTTGGTCCTGACCAAGCCAGACCGCAGTGGCTTATGGGTACGCTGGGGTGGGGCAAACACTCTGCCGTCCCAGAGCAGCACCCTGGGTCCTGGTGCCGGCTCTGAGATTCACATGTTGGCGATTTGGGGAGCGAGTGGCCCTTCCCACACCTTCTGCCTTGACCGCTCTCCCCCTCTCACAGCTGGCCCGGGAAATTCCGACCTGAGCCAGGCCTGATAAACCGGCCAAGGTGTTTGTTTGGAACCCTGACTCTTTCTATCAGAATTGCTAGTTCAAGGTGCTTCAGAAGGTTTCTAGAAAAGTGGAATTCAAAGGTAAATATTTTGATGAAAAAAAAAAATTGAAGTCCGTACCTATTCATAGTGTACATTTCCGTGAACTTTTTGAAGAGCCGTTGGCCGTGTGCTTTGCAAAAGCATCTTCGTGAATTTGCACCACAAGGGACGGGAGAGAAAAGGTAGAGACGTGTGTGCCCCTTTAGAACAGCTGTGGGGAGAGGGCCGCTGCGGGGACAGCAGGGGAGCAGGTGGGCCGTGGCTGGCCAGGGGCGAGTTGTGGGGACAAGGGCAGCTGTCGTCATGGCCAGCCCGCCACTTCCTGCCCTCCACGGCGCACCTGGGTAAAGGACTTGCTTTGCCCCCGGGGCGAGAAGCTTGGGTGCCTGTGCTGCCTCCCAGGTGTTTCCTGGCAAGGGAGCGCTCTCGGAGGGCCGTGTCGCAGCTCTGGTTTTTATTGTTTTTCGCTTTGTTCTGTTTGTCTTTGTTCTGTTTCCCTCTCACCCCTCCATCCTGTTTCCCAGGGAGCCCTGGAGGAGCAGCTGGCTCTGGCTGGGGATGGCGCCTACAACGCACACTTCGGGGAGAGCATCGCCAGCCTGGGCGACCTGGACGACGACGGCTTCCCAGGTGAGCGGGCCCACCGCTCACGTTAGAGCGCAGCGGCCGCCTGTGTCCGTCCCACCCGACTCGCCTCTGTGGTTCCCTCCCCAAATGGCTGCAGCGGCTGGAGCTGGGCCGATTGGAAGCCAGGAGCTGGGAGCTCCTTCTGGGTCTCCCATGCGAGTGCAGGGCCCAAGGACTTGGTCCATCTTCCACTGCCTTCCCAGGCCGTAGCAGAGAGCCGTACTAGAAGTAGAACAGCCGGCACTCAAACTGACGTGTCGCTCCCCCTCTTCGTGGAGGAACGACACAGGACCCTGCGCTGTTCTTTCGTCTGCTCGGCCCTCCCCGGGTTTGCTGCTGGTTCTTCCCGGGTTGGCTACTATCCCTTCCACCTCCGTGGAAGGGCAGTTCCCCCTGCCACATTCCCCACTTCCGCAGGGGAGCGGCACACCGCCGGCCGGCTCTTCTCGGGGGCTGCACAGGTGTTCCCCTTAGATGTTCCCCATAGATGTTCCTGGTGCATGCCGTCTCTCTCCTCCTTTATAGTCCTCCTCCGCCAATCCCAACTCGGCTGCCCACACGCCGAGTACGCTGCTCTCCTCCAATCAATAGCAAGTCCTACAGTTTATTAGTTGAACTGGAGGCAGCTGTGCGGAAGCTGTTTACTTCTCTCCCAGCGCCATATTGTGGGAGAGCAGATGCATAGAATAAGTCTTAATTCCAGTAACTCAGTCTAGTCCGGTTGCTCCCCACACCGACGCCCACGTGGGAGGCCGGCACTGCAGGCAGAGGCTTTGCCTGCCATGCCACAGCGCCAGCCCCAGGTTGACTTTTTAAAATTATTTATTTTATCAGAACAATTTTAGTGGACAAAGGAAAATTGTGCATATTTATGGGGTTTAGGTGGTGTTTTGTTACACGTGTAGCTTGTATGAGATCCAATCAGGGTAGGTTCACCTAACGTTGCTTTACAGTGAAAGCGTCAAAAATCCTTGTTCAGAGCATCTGTGTTTGAGACACCGCAAGTGAGTGAGCTCACGTGACCCTCGTCTCTCTCTCGGCCATTTCGCTTAGCATAACAAACCCAGTGCCAAGTCGTAGCAG